AGGCCTTGTTCGGGAACTAACCAAGAAAAGTAGGCTAGTTATGCTAATGGAACCCACCCAACGCTTTGAGGAGAATACTGAGAAAGTAATTTCTGAGAGAAAAGAAATGCAACAATATTATCGCAAAATGACATTTTCAATCGCTAATTAAGTCAGACATTGAAAAGCTACTAGAGGCAAAACATTTTCTGCAATAAAACAACAGACATATGGAACACATAATACAGAGACAATAGAAAACTAACGAGGATCATATTATACGTTAGGAGTTTAATTTTATTGACATATTCAATTTACAGAGTGCGCCAACGAATGCAACAGATTTATTTGCCGATCCAGTGATTTCATTTTTATCATTGGGTTCAATTCACTTTAGAGAGTCCATTATACAATTCAGCTCTTTCCAAACACGGATGACATTTCACCCTTTATTGTGAATGGCCATCTGCTATTGAAAACCTTTTTATTTGGACTAGGCTTAGCAGTGTCAAAGCCAAGTGAGTGTCATATGCCATGTAAGGACTAAAAGGATATGGAAACAAAGTAAACAGTTAAACAGGCTTAAAAAGGCCATATGATGTTGCTTAAAATAACATTATTTTGTGTATTTGGTGTAATGAAATGTGTTTATGCAGTTTAAGGTTAAAAAAACACATTATTTTCCACATACTGTACATTATTGTTTCTCCTCTATGCCCCGCCTTTCTGAAATGCGTCGATTTTTACAAAGCTCATCGTTCTGAAAAGCATGGTGTGCTGTGATTGGTCAGCTATCCAGGGCGTTATGATTGGCCAAATACCTCAAGCGTGTGACGGAAATGTTACGCCCCTCACCGTGATGATGCCCTGTCAGGTCAGAGCGAAACATGAAAACCCATTAAAAACGAGGCATTCGTTGCATCCAGTGGGGACATAATTATGGATTATAATGACTTATACTGTCTTTTTACGCGTTGCGTTGCGTTGCATGGCGCCGCGTAAACATAAAACCATGTCTGCATTTGTCATCGAAGAAATTACAAACAACAAGCGCTACTCTACACTGCTCAAAACTCGCGTTTGAATCATGTAGATATGTGGGGGCGTGTTAGAATGAGCCATTTTAGGTAGGCTTGGCTGACTTAACTTTTATAAAGAATATCTCTTTGGATTTGAGACTTTAATCTTTGCAACTTTACAGATCTTCTTTATGCACCAAGAGCTTGTAACACTCCAAAGAGAAAGGAAAAATTGAAATCGCATCATATGACCCCTTTAATAGAATGGTGCAATGATGTTGCTGATAATGTTCGCTTAAATTATGGTTCAACCCATCATTCCTATTTCTGGTATTTTATCTCCGGAAAGGCTTGCTAGACTTATTTCAAACCACATATTTATGTATTAACTTATAATGTACCAAATTTTGCTTTTACTTAAACAATCAGTCATTGTGTGTTTGGTTTACTGTGTAATCGATTTAGTATCTAGTGGACTTCTGCTTATTGCTTTACTCGGTGTAAAACACTCAAATCCACAAGTGAATCATCTGATATGACGAAATCAGACTTACAGATCCTAAACGTTCTCAAACGTAGACTAATTACGTAACAAAGTCATTTCTAGTAAAATCCAGAAAATCTGGTGTTACTAATTACCTTTGACCATACGCTCCAGATTTATCCAGCAAATATTAATTCTTTATTAAACATTTTGTTTGTCATAGTGCTGTTGGTGCAGTTTTTTTAACATTAAGTTATGGCTCTATATGTTACAGTTATTTTTATCATTGTAAGGGAGGAAAAAGCCCTCATGTGTCTTATTGCTACTACAACGACTTCTCACTTTTTTAGTGACTTTGGTTCACATATTTTTCAGAAGTGTTGATTATTTTTTCTATTTATTTTCATTAAAAATAATTATTCACTAAAGAGTTATCTACACATTTGATTTGAAGTTACAAAGTATGTATACTGTCAAACAGAAAAGACAACGGTACATGATTTATGGCCATTTTATGAGGGAAGTGATTGACAACCAAACCCATAAATCTCTGTGAATAATGCAATACATCTGGGTTTTCTGTCTTTTTCATTTATTTTCTTATCAGAACACATTACCTCTGTCTTCAATGATGTAATGCTGCAACATCCCATATTAACTAACATTCTGTATTTAGGACTTTTCCACAGTAACAGGACATTGCTTAAAGGGATAGTTCACCCAAAAAAGAAAATGTTATGTTTATCTGCTTACCCCCAGAGCATCCAAGATGTAGGTGACTTTGTTTCTTCAGTAGAACACAAATGAAGATTTTTAACTCAAACCGTTGCAGTCTGTCTGTCTTATAATGGAAGTGAATTGTTTTCGTAAAAAAACGATATAAATACTGTTAAGTTTCTTGCACAGACCGATCGTTTCGTGTCTTTACACATCAATGTATAGTCACGAGCCACAGGGTTTAATTTGGTTTTGTTTGTGTATGTTTTTTGACTCTCAAAGCCGTGATTCCCATTCACTTCCATTATAAGACAGACAGACTGCAACGATTTGAGCTAAAAATCTTCATTTGTGTTCTACTGAAGAAACAAAGTCACCTACATCTTGGATGTCCTGGGGGTAAGCACATAAACATAAAATTTTCATTTTTGGGTGAACTATCCCTTTAAGGATTGTGAATTGTGTTACTTCAGGTATTTGCCAAAATGTGATAAAAAAAAAAGTTGAAATAACATAATTTAAAAAGTTACTTACAACTTAAAACAAGCAGATGCCATTGCTTCACAATCTCGTAGTTTGTTCTAGCTCTCTTGAAAGATTTATGTTATCACTAAAACAAGTTTTAAAGATTGTGAATAGGATTACTGTTGTGGTCTATACAACATAATTTGCGACTGTGTTGCTGTAGCTCATTTCATTTGTAGTGACTTCACAGCCGAGGTGCTAATATGCATGTCTAATTTCAGAGGCTAAACATGCAAATCACATCTGCACATTTAATTCAGTCCATACACAAGAATGTCAACTGCAAGTATAGCTGCACGTTTCACAGCACAATGAAATCTTCCAGGAAGGAACTGTGTTGAACTATGCGCTTCTTGTGAACGTGTGTGAAGAACACACTAGACAGCAATCTAGTATTACCTATGAAGAGGAAATTTAATACTGCAAAAAAAGGTTGTACCTACTTCAAGATTGTTAGTTTTCGATGCGTAACACTTCCTCGTATTCACACTGCAAACTGTCACTAACTTATTTTTGCTTTTGGGCTTGGCATATGGTTGAAGGTGTTTTGTTTTCAAGCAAGATGTTTCACATAATTAAGCCTCAGTTTTTGGCAAAGGGCTCAGTGTATGTCACGGTGACGGTAAAGTGCTGAACAATTATTTCAATGATTATTCATGTACTAGGTTTGGTTTCTTAACTGAAGCCACAGAATACTGTACACTGAATTGAAGGCGTTCACACAACACTTTCCTCATACATTAAATTCTCACCAATAGATTAACCACAAAAATCAAATGACTCAATCCTGATCAGAAATCAAATCTTTCACGTGTACAGTATGAGCGAGCTTTCCTGTGCTTATATTTGCAAATGATTAACTTTATTTCATGTAAGGTTACAAGTAAGACAAGGTAACAAGCAATGAGATTCAAATACAGTGGAAGGTGTGTCAAAGCCAAGCAATGCAGTTTTAAAACCACCAAAGTTAAACATAAATGATGTGTACTTAAATTGTTTTATTGAAGCAACAGTCTAGCAGTCTGTTTGAGGTGCCATGCTTATGGGAGACCAGGGTTCAAGTCAAGCCTCAGCCGTTTTCCCATCCTCTCTCTTCTTTGTGTTCTGTTTCTTTATTACTGTCTATCAATAAAATAGCAAAAATGCACCAAAAATAAATTAAGTCTAGGTCTTGGTGATCACCACATGCCAGATTTTCATCCTGAAACTGCTTACTCCCAGCAAGAGGTAATGCAAATTCCCAGCAGGGCTAAGAGGGTGCAAGGTGAACGACTTCAAACATCGATATAGACTAGGTCTTATTGAAATGAGAGTATATTTACAACATGGCAAATGTTTTTCAGGTGAATGTTCATAATCTACAGTAACCTACCTAAAAAGAGCGCAAAACCTCACCTAGTTCACTTAAAGGCAAGGGAAGCGTTACTGATCCTGTTCGAAAAGCCTGATGCATTTCCAGTAAATACCCCCCACAGTCAATTAAAACCATTTCCCCTTGCATATTTCCCGTTGTAGCCTACAACATGTCCAAGACAGTGTGTAATGTATCAGGAAAATCTAGTTCTCACAAATTGTATGTGCATGAAGATTTTTCGCAAGCACCTGCGTAAACGTCCAAAGGTCGTGTCGTTTTATCAGTATTAATTTACTCTTATCTCCGTTTTCGAGGACTTTATATTTATCGATCATAGATCATGGTTTTGATATAATTTCACATATATCATCGAGAGGACACCACAGATTGTCGAAGACATAATATTCTCTAGTTAAACGACAACGAAAGCTGATTTTGCCGTTTGATCAGATCGAATTAGCCTATGCGTGTCTCACCACATCGTAAAACATTTTAAACCCACTGAAATGGAACACTTAAGCTTAAATTTTTTTTTTCGAAGTTGCAAGTTGCTCTTCTTTTGACCATTACTGGTTCAAACGCCAAAAGATTCAAACTGAGTAGAAATGTCGAAAATGGCTGTGAAGTTACATGGATGGAAACAAACGTCAAGTTCATTTTAAATAATAAACCATTATGTAGCTAGTCCTTCCTCACCACCACCTACTAATTAAGTGCGCATTTAATGTCTTAAAATAGTGAAATGCTCAACGATGCGAGAAAGTCTATTCAGACTGTCGCTTCAATGTGTTGTAATATAAAACCCGCTATCGTGTTCATTTACGTCCTCCAGTTACGCTCTGCAGACAGCGTATTTTTGCAAGCGCACTTAGCAAAAACTAATGCAAATCACACAGCGTTAAAGCAAAAGCCGTGCACTTACGTTTGACTTCTTCATATGGAACGAGAAGAGTAACTCCAGTGTCAGCGAAACCCTATTTTATCTTACTTCGGCGGGCAGGGAAAGGGTTCTCTTCATCCCAAAGGTACATATCCAAAATCATCATAAAGTAGAATCCAGGTCGGGAGGGAAAGAAAGTCACCGAAATTTGCGTAATGATGGTAAGTATCCAGGTAGACGCTTCATACCGCACGATGGAGGACTGAAGGCTGCGGAAAGAATCAATAGTTTTTTTCCCAAGAGCAAAGCCTTTTTATCGTGTGACTTCAGCGCACTCCCGCCCACCCCAGTTTCTCTCGATCGTCTGCTGCCCTGGGTCTCAGTCGATTTCACAATCACCATCTAAACGTCCAACTGAGATTTATTTGATGGCAGTGTTTTCTTGCTAATTTTCGCAGGATGGAGTCGCTTGTTTACGGCGTGTCGTGACTGCAAATAGTTTGTTAGATGTTTTGTAGTGACAAAAATGTCTCTGGCACGAGATGTTGTAGAAATGCTTAGTGAATGTTGGTATCGGTCTGGAAAACGTTTCGTCACGAGCGCGTGTGTTTACTCCATCTTATTCATGTAGGTTACTAACTATATATTAAGACGTCTTAATTAAGACGAAGAACGAAACACGGCTTTGGCTTGGCTAAACTGGATTTTGTTATCAAAACATGAGTAATGAAGCGCAGCTGACCAGTCAAAGTTTCTCGAACGGAAAATTTGGTGAAAACCAGCAGCCGCTGTCTCATCTTCACGCGAAGGCTCTTTGGTGGTTTCATATTGCACATACTTCACGTTTATTCGAATATGCAAATCAAATGTGTTCGAATCCCACGTGTTTGACTTTTCTGTTTCATATGTGGTCGAATGTGACAGCCGTGCGCTAACACTGAGGTAAACAGTGACATCTACAGCAGTGGCACAGTATTCTGGCTAAAACTAGCTAGACTGAGGTAAACTGTGCCATTTATTAATAAGTTACTCTCTAGGCTAGGATAAATTGGATGGAGGTAAAACAAGTACTATGTTATAGGACATTTCAAATAAAAATATGAGCTAAGGAGATAGGAAAGCTTCAATATTCAAAATATTTGATTGTAATGAAACAAATTTCCTTTGACACCATTTTCATTTGCATCTCTCACATGCAGATTGTGCCTCCTTTTTAGATATTTCATCACTTGACAAAAATTGTGCAGTTTCCTGGATGACTCATCTTACCCCATCATGCCCTACTACTTACACAATGAGAGCACTGCTTTCACAAATTACACTGAATGTTTAGTGCTAATTGTATTCTTGAATATGAAAGTAAAGCTCACTTAATAAATGTAAATTCAAGAGGATATATGGTGAGCAGCTACTCATTTGAATATACTGTTGATGCACTTCAATAGTCTGAAATAGCCAGCAGAAAACCCTAGCTGTGCTTGATATCTGGTGCACAGTGTCCATAGTTGTTTTTGGAGGTGTGAAAATATTCCACTCACAATTCATTCAAAAGTTTCAGTGTGGATTGTACTGCTACAGAATGTAACTCTGTTGATATAGATGTGAAATGGCCTCTTAATAACTTCACCTACGACATATGCAAATATTATTATTTGTCTCACCTGTTTCAATGGATGTGCCGGTGGAAGGACAACCACATGTATAGGTAACAGTACACAGAATTATGTCACTATAAATTTAAGAAGGGCCCATCATGTCTAGCTGTCTGTAATTAGAATTTTTTTTTTTTTTAATATGCTAAAAATTATTTTAACATGGAAAAGTTAAACATGAATGTTGATCTGTCAAAGCAAATATATAATATCATAAATATAATATAATAATAATGTTTGGTCTCATGAAATCCTACAAACATACATTTATATTAATACATTTGTATATTAATACGTAATTTAATATATCAAATTTAACAATTAAAGTTTTGGAAGGGAATAGGCCATTAATAAATAGTTTTTCATTATTTGAATATATGTTTGGTCTTAGTGCAGAAATCTCCCCAATACCACATTTGCATTTTCACAAGTTATTGCAGTCTACATAAGAATAATGTGCAATCAGTTTTTTTGAGCACATTTTACAAGCATATTTACTGAAAATCACTTTGTTTACTGAAATCTCCAGATCATTCCTGTGGGACATTCTTTAAAGCTTGTCTGATGAACCAAAACTGGTTTTTTGGAGGTGTGAAAATATTCCACTCACAATTCATTCAAAAGTTTCAGTGTGGATTGTACTGCTACAGAATGTAACTCTGTTGATATAGATGTGAAATGGCCTCTTAATAACTTCACCTACGACATATGCAAATATTATTATTTGTCTCACCTGTTTCAATGGATGTGCCGGTGGAAGGACAACCACATGTATAGGTAACAGTACACAGAATTATGTCACTATAAATTTAAGAAGGGCCCATCATGTCTAGCTGTCTGTAATTAGATTTTTTTTTTTAATATGCTAAAAATTATTTTAACATGGAAAAGTTAAACATGAATGTTGATCTGTCAAAGCAAATATATAATATCACAAATATAATATAATAATAATGTTTGGTCTCATGAAATCCTACAAACATACATTTATATTAATACATTTGTATATTAATACGTAATTTAATATATCAAATTTAACAATTAAAGTTTTGGAAGGGAATAGGCCATTAATAAATAGTTTTTCATTATTTGAATATATGTTTGGTCTTAGTGCAGAAATCTCCCCAATACCACATTTGCATTTTCACAAGTTATTGCAGTCTACATAAGAATAATGTGCAATCAGTTTTTTTGAGCACATTTTACAAGCATATTTACTGAAAATCACTTTGTTTACTGAAATCTCCAGATCATTCCTGTGGGACATTCTTTAAAGCTTGTCTGATGAACCAAAACTGGTGGAGCTTAGTGAATGGGTCAAATATGTTTTAAAAAAAAAATTGTATAGTTTACCCAAGATGGACCTACTTAGCCATCGACACGGCATTGGGGCAAGTTGTGCCACTTCACGTGTATGGCCCTATGTTAAAGATGCCATATAAATATCCTTATGCGAAAACCCCCCCAAAAAAGTTATTTCAGTTGAGCAGAACAAAACTAGCAGATCTTACCCAGCTTTCCTCTACTGCAGGGTGCAAATCTCCCTGGTTTTAGTTGTTGTGTTTTACCTCTGAATATTTCTTACAGAACAGTGTTCAGTGTCGACCTTTGACCAAACTCTTGCACTCCTTCTCCTAAGAGAGTGTTGTTTTATGGGTATGTCCGCTCTATGAACTAGTGCACTGTCATACCTCTCTGATAATGATTTCATCTATTACTACAGCTTTTTCCTCTTTCTCCGGCTCTCACCAGGCTGTCACAGGTTTCACTTCGCCTCCCCTCATGCAGTCTTGCATCTGTGTGTATAGGAGGGATAACTTAATCAGCTTTTATTTTCTTGATATTGGTGTAACTTGAGAGGATCAGACAGAAGGTTCATTTTTCCCTCCACGACAGACACTAATTTAATCAAGCTGCTGAATTCCTGCAGTTTTACTTCCCTCAACACTAAAATGCATCACTTCATAATTTGTCCCTCTTGAGTGAGCCCATTTCCGAGAAAACACAGGGGCTTCCCAGACTCTTGAGAGACTACTTTCAGACCTCCAGGCCCTGATGAATGTCTGTCTAGAAATGTGTTTCCCTCCATCCCTTGCTGAGCCTCTAGAACACATGTAGGGAATTTTTTTATCGATTAGGAGGATATGTTTGTTGTTGTAGGGTCACAAAAATGCAGAACACTTTAATAATAAATGTCTATGGCATGATAGTTTCATTCATGGTTTGTGCATCTAACTGTAATCTATATGAAATTACAAATGCCCATCCATTTTATTTACACATATTACATATGTTGTACATACGTATACAGTTGTGGTCAAAATTTTACATACACTTTGTAGTATCTGCAAAATGTTAATTATTTTACCAAAATAAGAGGGATCATAAAAATAATAAATGCATGTTATTTTTTTAATTAGTACTGACCTGAATAAGATATTTCACATAAAAGACGTTTACATATAGACCACAAGAGAAAATAATGGAGAATTTATAAAAATGACCCGGTTCAAACGTTTACATACGCTTGATTCTTGATACGCTGTTGTTACCTGGATTTCTTTTCTGATAATTGTTCCTGAGTCCCTTGTTTGTCCTGAACAGTTAAACTGCCTGCTGTTCTTCGGAAAAATCCTTAAGGTCTCATAAATTCTTTGGTTTTGCAGTATCTTTTGCATATTTAAATCCTTTCCAACAATGTCTGTTTGATTTTGAGATCCATCTCTTCACACTGAGGACAACTGAGGGACTCATACGCAACTTTTACAAAAAACACTCACTGATGCTCCAGAAGGAAACATGTACAGTATATCCTCTCTCTATGAAGCCATTTTCACTCAAAATTGCTAGTAAATTTGACAAATAATTGCAAAGAAATAGCTGAATTATTAAACTCTCTCTATATATTATACAAAATTGGTGTAGGAACAATTTTCACTGACAATTTGCTAGTAAATTTGACATAATTACAAACAGAATTTTTTTTCAGTGCATGTATCTATATATGCATACATGTGTGTGCATGTATAGATATAGTCTCTCTATATATTCTTATATGTATATACACACGCATATAAATAATGTAAAAATATATGTATATTTGAACTTCATATAATAACAATTTAATATAAAAATGTCTGTTTATAAAATATATAAATAGATATGTATCTCAAATATTTAAGCAAGTATTTCTGGTTAAAGATGTTGCCACTATTTAATGAGACCAAAGCCTCTCTTAAGCTACTGCATGTTCCCAGTAATACATCAGAATTTACTGCTATAAGCAATACCACATGTTGGGAGGGCTGGAGAAGGGTGTTCCCGAAAAGGAGGAGAGCACTGAAAGACACAGCACTGCTAGCAGAACAACCAAACCTGACAGATACAGAACATAAGTGTAATTTGAAAAAGGTCTAATCTACTCCCTTTCAATCTGAGAAACATTTCATGAGAAATTCATCGCTGGCTCCCACCCAAATAAAAATCCATTTACAACCGTCTGCTCCCAGGACCTTTGCCATGTCAAGTGGTGCACAATTTCAGCCTAAAAATATTAGGCCAAGAAGAGAAATTCTTAGATTTGAGTCATAAAAAAGAGAAACCGTCAGAACAACATTTCTCATTCATGTCAAGAAATACAAGAGAAGCGACTGACAACAGCAACATTGTCACCTCCTGGAATATTTCTCCTCGGCTTTCCTCAAACAAGAGGTCACACCGAGTCAGAAAATGAGCACTTTCTAACACAGAGCTATAAAGCAGAGAATACTGTTTATTACATCGTTTACATTTTCTAACACATCAGACAGTTGTGCAGCTGATATAATTTGGTTTGCATGATCCAAAAAAGTGATCACAAGTGCTCAAATTGATTTGTGTGAAAACCTCCCAATCCACATAATGCATGGCACCAGCATAAACCACTGATCATAAACTACTTTAATGACTCTGTCTCTAGACGAATAATCTTATAGCTGGCACTGGCAGATACATTACATTTGGGGTGGTGTAGTCACAAGCTATTATACCGCATATCATTACAATTTTAGAAATACTGTTTAGTTAAGCCAGCATCAGAATTTACCTACAAGCTTTTTGTAGCAAGTGCCATAAAAACTAATTATGTGCCCTTACAGTGAACAACAAAAAACAACAACACATTATTAAAACAACAACAACACATTATTAGTGATTAACAACATCAGTAACACTTACAGTAATGAAAGATGAAACTGATAATTAATTGAGGGGTTAAGTTTTTAAACTTAAAGGGGTCATATGATGCTGCTAAAAAGAACATTATTTTGTGTATTTGGTGTAATGAAATGTGTTTATGCGGTTTAAAGTTAAAAAAACACATTATTTTCCACATACTGTACATTATTGTTTCTCCTCTATGCCCCGCCTTTTTGAAACACGTCGATTTTTACAAAGCTCATCGGTCTGAAAAAGCGAGGTGTGCTGTGATTAGCCAGCTATCCAATGCGTTGTGATTGGCTGAATACCTCAAGCGTGAGACTGAAATGTTATGCCCCTCACATACTGTTGATGCCATGTCCCGGCTGGAGCGAAGAGACAAAAACATTAAAACCCATTACAAACAAGGCATTTGTTGCATCCAGTGGGGACATAGTTACTGATTATAATGACTTATACTGTCTTTTTATGCGTTGCGTTGCATTGCACCGTGCCGCGTAAACATAAAACTCTGTCTGCATTTGTGATCAGAGAAATGACAAACAACAAGTGCTACTCCACACTGCCCAAAACTCACGTTTGAATCATCAGTGGCAAGAGCCAGCAGAACATGGTGAAAGAGAGTTTCCTTTACTTTTTTTCTAAAAAATTAATTAATTAAAAAAGCAGTATTATATATAGTTTAAAGATGAGTTGTCTAGTGATTAATAATTTTATTTAAATCTTTCAACACCCCTATTGGTAAAATTGAAAGAGCATATACATTGAAATTGAAAGCGCCTATATGCATTAAGAAATATGTCAGTCAAAATATTTATTGAAATTTTTTGACATTCCTAATAAAACTGCCATTAATAATTAATCTATTTCTTTTGACATTCCTAATATTTTAAGCATGCATACCATTTCATTTTTTTTTACTAAATATAAATTTAACTAAACATAAATGTTAATGACTAAAAATAACAAATAATACAATTCATCTTTTGATTTGATTATTTTATCTTTTTAACCAAATATGTTAAGCCATTAAATAAAAATAAATAAATTAAAAAATGAATTGAAAATACAGCCGTTAAAAGATTGAAATAATATGATAATGTCATAATATCTGTTCTGCATGTTTCTTTCCATGTAGCCCCTGGAACCTGCTTACATAGCACTGGTTGGGAATCACACTGCATTAGGTGTCAACATCTCGTAAAGCTACTGGAATGTGGCAGCTGAGGCGTTGCCCCTGACTGAATGAGTGCCAAACGCACTGGCCCATTTCAGGACACAAGTACCAGCTGGTGGCCGTTTGGATCGCTGCTGATAATTCAATATGATGTACCTTCGGCTAAAGCTGGATAAAGGGACTTATTGGAACAGGTATAAGGCAAGAGTCACAACAACGTAGCTGTTTGTTATTTGCTCTGGGACAATTTCTCCTTTCATGTTTCATGAGAGAAATCAAAAAGTCATACAAGTTTGGAATGATGTGAAAGTGAGTAATGAATAACAATTTTCATATTTGGCTGAACTATACCTAATTAAGTCATAAAAGTGAAACATTAAAAAAAGCCTCTATTGGACCTGTACACCTCTTGGCAGGTGGGGAGAGACTTTCACTAATACACGATGTTCAAGGCCTAGGAGGCGATTTGTTGCTTAGTCAGCCTATACATCTGTTAATGTAATCCAATCCTAGCAATCCAACTCAGATAAGAAAGCTGAGTTTTAATGCTGTTAGATTTATGCTAGTACTTCTGAGAGTCAAATTACGGCACTGGCTTCCCTTTAGGAGTGAACACAACAGTTGTAACCTAGTTACACAAACTGCTTTCCACACTTGAGTCTTGTTGCATTACAACTAGTGGTGTCATGAATTACACGATATGTCGATGAATTACTCAAATTAATCAGCATTTGCGAACATGAGCACCGCAAGTGAAGTCAAAAGTATTTAAATTTTGAAAATGCATCTTAAGACCCCTTTGGTCTAGCAAAGGCTGGATAAAGTCAGTGTGGTTGGTGGATGGTTAAACTATAAAAAAAATATACAACATGTAGTGAACTGAACTGGAAAAAAATGGTGACATCCCTATGACTTTTGATATATATAAATATATATATATATATATACTGTATATGTGGGTGTGTGGATTCTCTACAAAACAGGGCAGGATTCATTACTAGAAAGGATTCCACTGCTGTTGTTTTCATTTGATTCATTTCTCTACATCTATTCCAAGAATGCCCATATCTTGATCAAGTCAGTAATGCTGATGACGTCTCCAGTCGACTGACTGATATCAGCTGAGAAGCAACGTGAGTGAATGAGTGAGTGAGCTGAAAGAGCAGAAACCAGTATTCAGTCAAGTCCAACATTAACATTTATAGGTTTATGTATGCTTTTTTTTTGCCTGGAGGCTATTCATAAGAAGTTCAGAGGAATATGTGTTTTACGAGCGTGAAAAGGGAAGCTGAATGGCACACTATGCTTAAATATTTGACTGTCAAATTTGTATTCATGCACACACATGTTGATTAGACATCCGGCTCCGGATGTGGCCTGCCTCGCACGTATGGTTGTTTCAGACTCAGAGACTAGAACAGGTTTCTTAATAATTAAATTTTGCCTTATAACAATGCCACTAAAATGTAAAGTTCTCTCAAAAGTACATAAAACTAAACTCATTCCAAGGAATTTTATAGATGGCAAATGAGATATTTGTGATCGGGGGTGACTTGGAAAATTGGTTGCTTGCGTTTTACTTGTTTAGTCAAGCGTGGCCTCAGACAGCACCGTGAGGATTCCCATAGGCATTTAAAACAAATGTTGTTGCTTTGAAAGGGAATTAGAACTGGCAGTGCCATAATTTCATTTGGCACGACTGAAATGTCACAGTCTTTCTGTTTACTGATACTTTGACGCAACTGTCCTACATCAAAGAAAAAAGAAGGCTCTTAGGTAAGTGAGCTAAATATTGTGGTGCCGAGGAGTCCAGATGCACTAGTGACCAGCGTCTGAACTCCAGACTTTTCTTCATGCTTATGTGTCTTAAAGTGACAAAAAATATAAAGGAATTGAAAGGAATCGTTGCTTTTGTCTATTCTCGGCACAAATTGCATTTGAGGACAGCATTATAGTCCTCTCTTTAGCAGGGGTTTTTAAAGAATAATATTTTATCGTTTTTGTAGAGGTAGCATAAAAGCAATCCTGCTGAAATGTGGTAGGTCTGTTTATATGCACACACGTAAAAAAAACTAAAAAAACATTAATCATAAAAAATCTAACAAACTATTTTTAAAATGTATTTATTTATATGAATTAAATCTTGTACACAAAATCATAAGTCTAATATAAAACACATCTAAAAATTTATCTGCATGTCTATAATTTTGTATTAATCAGGATCAAAAATCTAAATTAGAATGTGTTCAAAACACTTTATGGACAGAACTGACATGACATTTCTTGTATGGTAGTACATATCTGTGTTCAGTGTACTGAATTAATGTCACGAAGCAGAACTGAAATGGCACCAGGCCTGGCTCAAATATCAAATAGTTTGACAATATGAATGATATTAATGCTTAGATATTTCATATATCAACGCCAGCAAAAGCTCGTGTAAAACTGAGAAAAAAAGAATCGTGTTATATCAGTTTGCTAACAAAGCTGGCATGCAATATCAAATAGGTAAGATCACGAAACGTGCACAATGATTGTCATGACAACGGCAAAATTTATGGCAACGGTACCAGTGAGCTCCAGGATAGAGCAAATCCGCTGCAGCCCTGAGGCGACATGTTATTTTACCTGCTACAAATAACGAGCACAACTGGATTTCACTGACGCAAAAGTGTTCATTTTGATTTATTATCAGTATTATGAACTTTTTGAAATCTAAATCTTAGCGTGGGACTTCGTCACTCTCTGTACGTCACTGAAAAGTGATGTACAGGCATCATGATCACATGCTCAAGAACTCAAATTACACATGCTGCATATATTTGCCAAAATGGAAACCAAAGGATTTTCGATTGTATTTGTTGATAAATGAAATAGAAAAGTAATGTGTTTTACTTCATGGTGTAAATTTACCAATAGGTTACATAATCAAGTTTAATTGGAGCTTTAGAGGAGCATGTACTTTAATAATCCAAAAAGAGCTGAAAATGTCCATGGTTGTATGATTTCCACGGAAAATCGCAGCAATTTTGTGGCTATTCTGATCAGTTTAACCCTGGAGCCAGGCCTGAGTGTTGCCCGCATTCAATATGCCATTCAAAAACCAAGCCTTACCACAGGAAGCTCCGGCACTACAGATGCGTTCCCAGTTCCTGTGACTTAACTGATGGGAGGAACGGGAGGTAGTGGAGCAGTTTGAACCTCTGAATAAAGTTTGTGCAGAAAGGCAGATTGTAACAGGAATGATCGGTGACGTGTATTTGAGATCCTTCATGAACCGTCTTCCTCCAGCTCTTTATTCCCCTTTCTTTTTCTGTTCCTAAGAAAAAACATGATTTTTATTAATTATACCAACACTACATTGACACAACTAGAAAGCAGACAAAGCAGATATTTAAATCTTGCAACCAGGAAATGCATTAATTGAAAAACATTTCAGCCAAGTAATATGCACTTTTAAAAATGAAAGGTGTTTTATTGGCTTTCATGTTTCCATGAGGAACCATCCAAGGAACCTTTCCATTGCACAAAAGTTTCTGTATTGTGCAAAATAATTTATTAGATTATTAAAATGTTCTTCATATTAAAAAAATGGTTCTTTCAAAAACTGATCACTGATAAGAGTGCTTCTATTAAAAAAAACCGTTTGGATCCTTTTTTAAGGTGCTTTATGTTATAAATGTAAAAAAAAAGTTTTTGTTTTGGTCTGTGAGATTCCACCCAGTGGCAGTTTAGTATAGTACTTCTTTCAATAGTATTTCACCCCAGGTTGCCAGTTGCCGGAAAACACAGCATTCTGCAGCCATGAAAGCCAGCAAATGAACTGGGTCTTTTTAGATTCTACCCAACCTCAAAAGCCTCGGCATCCACCTAAAAAGATCTATGACCAGAGGCAAATTAAAACGGATAAATTAAAGGCATAGTTCATCCAAAATGTACTCACTCTCAAGCCATACTAGGAGAAAACATGACTTTCTTCTTTCAGATGAATGCAAACAGAGTTATATTAAAAATGTCTTGGCTCTTCCAAGCTTTATAATGGCGGTGAAAGGTGGTCGAGATTTTGAAGCCTATAAAAGTGCACCCTTCCATCGTAAAAAGTGTCCCACATGGCTCCAGGGGGTTAATAAAGGCCTTCTGAAGTGAATCAATGCATTTCTGTAAGAAAAATATCCATATTTAAAACTTTATAAACCACAATCTCTAGCTTCCGCTAACTGTCGTGCGCACGTTCATGAGAGAGTGGCATTCCAGCGGATGATGTAGGATGTAGGCGTAGCGTAATCTCTTGTGAGAATATGCTAGTCTCGCACAAACCATGTTTTAATAATAATAAACTTTATTTTCTATAGCGCCTTTAAAAGGAACAGCTCAAAGCGCTTTACACGGATAAAAAGGATCAAATAATAATAATAGTAATAGAAATAATAATAACAATAAATAAATTAAAAGTAAAATAAACACCATACATATGACAGAGAAATCACTTAAAAGCTATTCTGAAAAAATGGGGTTTAAGAGCAGATTTGAAAACACTAAAAGATTCTGTCTGATCTCAATGGGAAGAGAATTCCAGAGTTTTGGTGCACAGGAAGAAAAGGCCGTAAACGAGTAGGGGGGACCACTAAAAGACCAGAATCGGAAGAGCGAAAATCATGACTTGGAATATAAACAGTTAACAGTTGCGACAAATAATGTGGGGCGGAGTCTTGCAATGTTTCTGAGATGAAAAAATACATTTTTAACTGTATTTTGAACTTTCTGATCAAAAGTTAGGTTAGTGTCAAATATCACCCCCCCCCCCCCCCCAAAATCTAAAGCCGTGCCTTCCACTTTTAGAGCAAACGTACTGGTTTTACTGTTTTGTTTACAGCTAAGGAAATAATATTACTGTCTCCGCTTGGCTCCTCTTGGCTTATATCAAAATCCTCTGACATTTTTCTGTACAAATCCTCACTTTGCACTTCTAATTCGTGACCGGTGTGTTGTTTTGCTCTCCTCTCTGCGCTTCCGCGTTCATCACTTCTCAACGTCCTACGTCATCCGCTGGACCGCCACTCTCTCGTGAACGTGCGCTCAACAGTTAGCGGAAGCTAGAGATTACGGTTTATAGTTTTAAATATGGATATTTTTCTTACACAAAAGCAGCTTTTCGCTTCAGAAGGCCTTTATTAACCCCCCCAGAGCCATGTGGAGTACTTTTTACGATGGATGGGTACACTTTTTTGGGCTTCAAAACCTCGACAACCATTCACTGCCATTATAAATCTTGGAAGACCCAGGCCATTTTTTGATGTAACTTCGATTGCATTCGTCTGAAAGAAAAAAGTAATATACCCTTAGGATTGCTTGAGTAAATCATGGGGTTATTTTCATTTTTGGGTGAACTGTCCATTTAACTTTAATTACAGTGTAAGGCTTGTCGTCTTCCATTGCCAGTGTCCTCAATCTGGCAACCCATGTCAGTGTCGAGTCGTAGGAGGATATTTAGGAGGATAATCTCCAATATTTTGAATTTGGAACACAGTACCCATTTCAGCCGCTAGCTGTCAATATTACATACTGCACCTTCAAGAGTGTGTATTCATTAGCATTTTCTGTTGCATTCACAGATGTATATTTTTATTGAATAACGGCTTTCAAAGAGTCGGAACGAGTCGTACAAAGATCTTTTGACCATGACATGGCCCTGCAGATTAACATGCCCAACAGTCATGTGTTTTTACAACTTACCTGGTATTGTGTTATCCAAAACAAATCCAAAGAATCCACCAATGAACATGTGGGTGGTGAAGAGAATCATTATGAGCTGATCCAGCTCTTTTATGCCTGTTGACAGATACAAAACCATTCAGATCACAAAGAACCGGGCGGACAGTGACAGATGTCCAACACATGGATATAGATGTAAGCAAACGATTAGGGATACAAACTCTTGGTATAAGATATCTTATTATTATGCCTTAATAGGGTGGATGTTCTAGGGCCAATTAACGTCCATCTGACGAGACCCACACAGCAAATGTTGGTCAGGAGTTCAATGTGTCAGCTTAAAACACTAATTCCTGAAAGCCTGTCAATAAACTGCTTAAAAGAGACCCTGATAAAGCACTATTGAACTTTTGTGGATGCAAAAGCCCCCTTGTTTTAAGCAGTGTTAACAGAAAACTTGGGACGAAGATTAGGACAAAGTTCATCCAAAGGGTGCACTGGCCTGGATATCGAAAGAGGTCCGTTGGTTTTTACATGAAAGGTTTGCGCTGAAGTTAAGGGAGGAGATTACAGCAGAGTCCAATGGAGACTTGTAAAGAGGATTGGCAGATAAGTCGCCCTAACCTCAGGAGCCCAGACAATGCTTTTTACCAATGTAGATAAGCTTGGGATGTGCCACTTGCACCGACTGACCTCCCACATTGCATATCTCAAACAACTACTGTTTCTTGTCCTGTTCAGTTGCTGAAGCAACATTTGCATCTAATGCCCAACAAAAGAGTTCAGACTGGAACTGTTCTTCTAATATATTTGTTCTGTTATTTTGTGTTCAGTTTTTTTTAATGAAGAAATGTAATAGCAATTGACTATGAAATAAAGCAATTCAGAATGATTCTGCTCAAGTGAATTTTAATGATTTTATATATATATATATATATAT